TGTCCCCCTCTCTCTCTTTTCGCCCCGCTCTCTCTCGCGCAACTTGGCAGGAACAGCTCCCGCGGGCTCAACTAACGATAGATCCAAATTCCCGAGTGAGATCCAAAAGACTACCGTCTTCCCCCGAACACAACGCACCCTCATTTTGGCTGTATCTGGCCGGAAATATAACTCGTGTACATTCATTTTAAGGGTGTGTTATGTTCGGGGAAAGACGGTAGTAGCCCACTACTAGGAAGGTGGCGATCGAGAGGAGGAAGGATTAAGTAAGCAGACCTTGCAATCTCAGGATGGGCCCGCGGATGGTCGTCACAGCGGCGGGAGGTCGCTTTGGTGGGGAGAGGGATGAGAAAAGCAATAGAGAGAGAGAGAGAGAGGGATGCAGAACGATTCGAGAGAAGGGATATCGACCACGTCAACAGCTGGGAGGTGGCGGGGGAGGATGACGGGCAGCGGGGGCTGCAGAACGATTCGAGAGAAGGGATGGGCGGCGGGGAGGGGGGGAAACGGATGGAAAGGCCAGCGGTATAAAGAGAGATTAAGAGGAGTCGGAGGTAGGGGGCTACGGGGGAAGGGGGTTGTGATATAAGGATAGGGGAGAGGATAATCGCAAAAAGAGGAGTAGCAAGAGAAGATGTAGGACGAGACTGTGCAGGAGAGGGGAGAGGATAATCGCAAAAAGAGGAGGAGCAAGAGAAGATGTAGGACGAGACTGTGAAGGAGAGAGGCAGTCAAGGAACCTCTTTTTCTTTATTAATTTATCAATAATTAATTAACTAATTAGCATCTGATCTACTATCTCAGGCCAGGGACATGATCGAACGGTCAGGAGAGAGGCAGGGGAGCTCGAAATCGGGCAATAGCGAACAGATCAAGATTCAAAGGAGGGGAAAGTGCGGTAGGAACCGGAAAAAAAAAAAAAAGGAAAAAAAGGAGGATGTGGTAAAACATACTTTACCTCAGTTAAATCACTCCTCGCGATTTTTCATACGGTCCAAAAGTGTTTATTCAGCCAGTTCTAGTACTTCGAGCGGAGGTCTCCCCGCTAGCCATTCTCCACGAGGGATAGAATAGAGAATAGCACATGTAGTACTCCTTAAAACCAGAAACACCGCGCGCTCATCCTGCCGATCCTGCATACCTCTCCTCCCATCCCTCCACGCACAAACAAACACCGCTCTCACACACACACACAACACACACACAGAGAGAGAGAGAGAGAGAGAGAGAGAGAACTTCGCGACACTAGTTTAGGCACAGCCCATAGGGCGCGCCAACCCGCCCATCCGTTTTCACCGAGTCTGCACTACACTTTGCCCATCTCTCAGCGCACCTCTCCAGACACAACACCGCTGAGAGACACAGAGAGAGAGAGAGAGAGAGAGAGAGAGAGAGAGAGAGAGAGAGAGAGAGAGAGAGAACTTCGCCACGGCCGTTTGCACGCAGCCCGTTTCCACTTCGTCACAGCATGCCCGTTTCCACTTTGTCACAGCACGCCTGTTTCCAATTCGTCACAGCATGCCTGTTTCCACTTCGCCACGCAAAGCCAGTGTGCACTTCGCCATGCCCATCCCGTCCATGCTCGAGACGAAGCACGAGTGCGAGGGCGAGGGTTCGCCAGTCGGCATTCCCTTTGCGGGCTTGCGCGCCGAGCGCAGTGTACAGTACTTTTGTCGCCACATGATCTTTTTTTGGGTGGGGGCGGAGGGGGCTTCGAGTTTTTTTGAGACCCGCTTCAGGTTTATCGGCCGCCCCAATTAGAGTCTATCCCACCCCACTTAGGGCCTCGATCGACAGCACGTGGATAAACCCAACCAATTCAGTTACCTGTAGAATCTGGACAGGACGGCCTTCCAGGCCTTTTTTATTGTCATAATCAGGGTGGCCGGTGTTGGGGACGGGCCGAACGCCGGAACCCGAACACCCCAACGTATTTGGGACCAGCTAGATTGTCTACCGCCGGGGCGTGGGGAACGCAGCCCTAAGGTAGCCAAATCAATGAGACTAAGAGCTCGCACGAGAGAGAGAGAGAGAGAGAGATTTGTTCCATTTGTTGTTACGAGTGTGAGAGAGAGACAGAGTGAGCAGAGAAAGAAAGGGATAGAGAGCGAGGGAGGGGGCGGGCCTACCAGAGAGAAAGAGAGAGAGAGAGAGAGAGAGAGAGAGAGAGAGAGAGTTTTGTTCCATTTATTGTTACGAGTGTTAATCCCCTCGGAAAGAAGGCAATCAATGCTGGTCATTGCGTTGAATGGTGCGTGCTCTCGTGTCGCCATTACAATTGGTTAGGATGAAGGGTGTGACACGTGGCACATTCGTGATAATCTGGATGTTTTCCGGGACGCTGGACCCGATTTCCAGCAGGTGTTGCTCCCCACCAATAGATGGAGCCTTCCTGAGCGTGCTAGCGG